ACAAGTATTAATAAGACCACACTTTCACAAGTATTAATAAGACCACACTTTCACAAGTATTAATAAGACCACACTTCCACAAGTATTAATAAGACCACACTTTCACAAGTATTAATAAGACCACACTTTCACAAGTATTAATAAGACCACACTTTCACAAGTATTAATAAGACCACACTTTCACAAGTATTAATAAGACCACACTTTCACAAGTATTAATAAGACCACACCTCTGCAAGCAATTAACACTTCTACAAGGATTTTTATAAAATTGTGCTCTAAAGATCTTTGAAAGTTTTTTCCACGAGAGTTTTTATTAATGCACCATTTGGTGAATGGTCATTAACCAAATGTTTGACAGGTTTAACAGACACCATTTTTAGTGATGTGTTTATATGTATTTAATTATAAAGATGGTTTGTTGCTGTAATATTGAGTAGATTGCAGGATATTGTATAGAAGTTGAATTCCCGCCACAACTAGATAGAGATGCAAACATAAACTTTTAATGTGTGTGAAATACCCATTATCTAAAACTAAATGACTTACTTACAGAAGAAACACTGGAAAAGATTCATGTGAAGATTTTTTGTGATTTCTCTATATCAAAAGTTCATGCATCTAGATGAGAAAGTTTGGTTATAGGTCAATAATCAAAAGATTCATGTAAAGATGTTTTGTGAGGTTTTTGTGTATTTCAGCAGAGTGCAATTTTACCAGCATGCGAGACATAAAGAATTCTTTCCTAACAATACACATTTAATATCTTCATTTGTAGGGATTCAAGACTTTATGTTTTAATTCTCAGAACATGTATATTTCATTCTTAGAAGGTATCGAACATTTACTAGCTTCTCTATAAAGTAGCAATCTTGTTCTTAGTAAACCTCTGGAGTATATTTATTTTATAACATAAACTTGATTGAAAACAATACAGATGAAATAGGGATATTAATATAGTTTGATAAATATTCTAGGCCAAAAGCTTTGTAGTTGAGATCTCTACCTCATTTGAAGATTTCGCAACAGTGATCAGTGAAGACAAACGTTCAGCCACTTTGGATGCTGGAAACGTAAAATTAACATATAACAGTGTAAGTAAATATCAACTGAACTATCAGTGGCATAAAAAACAAGATGAAAATGACCTTGAGACTTCAAGAGAAAGGATTGAATTTACTCATTTTAAATTAATGCTTCTTTTGGACTACTCTATATAAATTTTCAAGCTTAACTAACAACAGTAGGCAGAGAGTTGTTTAACCAAATCAGAATAGTTTTGAAGTACTTTCTATACCCTCCTGAGTGAAATATATTGTTACTGCTCCATTAATAACAAGATATTAAATAATTAATAGAAATGACCTTGGTATTAAACCTCACAGAAATAAACAACAAACATTTCACACTCAGCGTGTTTATTAATAATAATTATTTAACTATAGAGTTTAATACCAAGGTTGTTTTGTGAAATGTTTGTTGTTTATTTCTGAGTCAGCGTGTTTATTAATAATAATTATTTAACTATAGAGTTTAATACCAAGGTTGTTTTGTGAAATGTTTGTTGTTTATTTCTGTGAGTTATGGTGTTTATTAATGATAATTATTTAACTATAGAGTTTAATACCAAGGTCATTGTGTGAAATGTTTGTTGTTTATTTTTGTGAGTCAGTGTGTTTATTAATAATAATTATTTAACTATAGAGTTTAATACCAAGGTTGTTTTGTGAAATGTTTGTTGTTTATTTCT